AACGGGTTTAAATTGAAAGAGGGAAATTTAGATTGCACACGAGCCAGTCCCTGAGCAGCGAGTGCCAGAGCTGGAGGGAGTCTGAGCCAGAGTCCTAGGACCCCAAGAGCCAGAGAGCAAGCTCCAGAGAGAGAAAGCCCCAAGTCCACTCACCCCAATTTTTATACTGAGCATGACGCCTTACAGCATAAAATATCCTTTTGGTCAGTTTGGGTCAGCTGTTCTGGCTGGTGTCCCCTCACAGTTTCCTGTAGAGAGGAAGCTGGGAACACAGGGGCAGTATCAGAAACTGAAAAAAGCTTTGAGTTCATATAAACATTGATTAGCAACAGCTAAAAACATGTGTATGTTATCAGTATTCTCCTCAGCAAAACCGAAACATAGCCTCGTGCTAGCTACTGCGAGGGGAAGAAACTCTATCCCAACTAAAACCAGCACAGGTTCCTGACAAGCATATTTGTATTAGAGCAGTCCCAATTAATTGTAACATGAAGAAAAAATTAGGTTAATTAATAATCTCATTTTTCAACTCAATCAGAAGTAGAATATAGAAAGAAATGAGACGTGAATAAATTTCTGTGAAAAACAGGTCTCGGAGATTCTTCCTGTTTATTTCTAGTGAAATACAAACACTATTCTCCGCATCGTTTATTGCAAAACAAAAAAATCCTAGAGCTTGGGAAAATGAATCATAGAATGGTTTGGGTTGGAAGGGACCTTAAAAATCATCTACTTCCAACCCCCCTGCCATAGGGGTGTCCTTGTAGACCCCTTCAGGTACTGGAAGGCTGCATTAAGGTCTCCCTGGAGCCTTCTCTTCTCCAGGCTGAACAAGCCCAACTCTCTCAGCCTGTCCCCATAGCAGAGGTGCTCCAGCCCTCTGAGCATCTTCGTGGCCTCCTCTGGACTCACTCCAACTGGTCTATATCCTTCTGATGTTGAGGGCTCAGAAAAGAAACTGCAGGTTATCTGCTGCATGGATGAAAGTTTCAAAACGAAGCTTTGTGTTTGTTACATTTTCATTTTCTGTTCTCCCCTCTTAGACTTTGATTGTCTTCAGTCTTTGATTGTGGTGGTGCCACCTGATGTAAAAATTAAAAACATGGAGAAATGCATGTAGATACATTTCAGATGGAAGAAGCATATTGGCAGGTTTACGTTGAATGACGGGGTACGTTCCAGAGTGTAAGCATTATGAATTTCCATGGAAGAGCAGCTCGTCTTCACTTTGACAAAGGTTCTAGGTCCATATTGCTAATTTTAATTCTCATTTGCTGCCAATCCAGTAAAAGTTTGGAAGTCTAATGATTTAAGAAAAATATAGTCAGAATAAATGTATTAATAATGAAAGGACTTGTCTCAATTTTGATTTGCAGTTAAATAATGTAACCAGTACCAAAATCAATCAACATGTAGTAAATTTAAGAAAGCCAAGAATGTGGGTCCTGGCTTGGTTATAATTTTCAAGAAAAGCATTTTACCAAAGACAATCAACTGTATAATTTGAAGCTGGATAAATAGTTTTATGCTGAGACCAAATTATTATATAATGTCTGAGCCACAACCTCAGTTTCCTCCTTGCATTTCAATTCTTTCATGGTTGCTAACCCTTCCCTATCTCAGAATAGACAAGTATCCAAAATAACAGGATAGTTATCATAGGGAGAACTTGAACAATTGCCTACCAACTAGAAACAGCAAGTAATAAACCTGTAGGTACCTTCTTATTCATATAGTCTACTTAAGGGTAGTGCTTGCTTAAATTTGTAAATACTTTTTGTATCTTTGAAAGATACAGATACTCAGGAGTAAAGTCAGGGGAGTCTCCCAGTCAATAGAAGGGTGGAAAAAAAGACTGAGGTGTTGCAGCTACCTCAGTTCTTGCCATCTCCTGAAGAGCTGCAGAGAAGGAGCCAAGTGCTGGTCCCACCCTGGTAGAATGCTTCTTGCTGGCGTACGTCTGTCAACTGCATAGAAAGATTGATCAAAGTTAAAATGGTTTGTTTAACAGGTCTTTGAAGGTTCTGGAAGCTCAGTCTTTCCCTGAGGTAGCTGGCATGAAAGATCAGACTCATAGCACGTACCTTTGATTGCTACAATTCATTAGTTACTCTGTCTTGCAGTGTCTTCTAAAGTCTTTGGACAAATCGAGTGCCTGGTCCATCTTGAAATCGTTTGGTTGAGTTATCTATTGGCAAGGATCACAGGGAAGGAATCCAATTTTGAGCCCAGAAGTTTCAATTAGCCGGCATTTTCTGTTGTGATTCTCCACTAAGCAGCATAAAATAAATCTGGATTCCCACTTCTTACGAGGTTGGCCTGACACAGTGTGGGTCCGGTTTCTTAAGGTGTTTGTTATTTGTTCATGAAAAACTCAAGTGTCCAGTGGAAAGTACTGAAAGGAAAAAAAACCCACAGCAAAACAAAATACAGTTGTCACAGCCTTGGTTCATCAACAAAATGAAGTCAGACTTCTAATTACCACCACTTCTCAAATAATTAGAAGGGGACAAAAAGGTCTTATTTTTCTCAAGACTTACAGTATTACAGCTACTTCTCTGCTGTGAAACTGGCTTATAGGTCAGATTGTTGGTGTTCTGAAATGTAAAACTTGGTGGAGAAAATTCATTTTAAAGCCCATCAAAATTAAGTCTTTTGGTGGTTGGTTGGTTGGTTGTTGTTTTTTGGGTTTGTTTTGTTTTAAATTGTGGAGCTGCTAAGGCTGTCCAGAAATCACTTCTGGTTTTAGAAGTTTCAGGCTTTCACCATCCATTTGTCTTCTGATATAGAATGAAATTAAACCATTTACAATATTTTGCTTATAGACCCAAAGGGTATGTGTGAAAGGAGCACAGCAGATAGTTCAAGTTGTGGAAACTGTGGCAGCTGTAATGTGGTTCACTGCCTAGGCCTCCTTGGCATGTTACGTGATTTAGAAGACGTCACTTTGCCAAAGTATTGAAAGCATAAAGTTGCTAACTAAAATGAAAAATAAGCAATTCCTTTGGCTCATCACCTGGAAGTCTGCTGTGAATTTTAAAACTCTTATTTTTCTTGATTTGCAACAGTTATTTATTTGACTATAAAATACTCACTATGCACAATGGCTTTTAAATGGAAGTGGATCTGGGGGGATGTCAATTTCTGAGTAATTTCCAGACTCAAGTCATTCATTCCTTGCTCTGGTTGCTGCCACTGTCCTTGCAGAAACACACAGTACGTATGTCATGTCGTTACTCAGGGTACAGTACTTGCTGTAGGCAGGTCCGTACACCCCTCTCACCTTTCTGTACAAGTGTGCAGTCATTTTAAGCATGTCATAATTCCTAACTTTAATGCAGTAGAAGAGATCCTAAATAGCTGTTGGTGCAGCTATAACCTTGGTTTATAAGGTTTATTTTAAGTTTCATTCCATGAAATGCAATATAGAGAGCTGGCTTTTTTATTACTATTTTTCAGCCCTGCATCACATTTACACTTTTCTATCAAACACCCTCATACACTGTCCTGGGAATATTACACTATGTTCCAGTGTAAAGCACATCTTGTTATGAGACTGATTGAGAACAGGATTAGCATGGAGTTCATGTTACAGGTGAGTATTTAAATGCTTACATGGAATACAGACAACTTCTTGTCTTTAGTTGCATTTCTGTTCATTAAATGGTGTTTAAGAAAGAACAAAACAGCTTATCATAAGGTTCCATTTGTATTTCAGTTTTTAGCAGGATAGAACAAACATAAAACGTAGGTCATTTGTGTTAGAAGGTTACCTGTAATTCTTACACATCCCTTGCAATACTTTTTATATATTACATGTTCTCTTTAACGTTAAGGTGCTTCGTTGCTTTGGGTTCTTGTGATGGGTTGTTAACACTGAGGTCGGGATTTACTGGCCCTGACTGGTGTTGCCATGAGCTAATCTACTCAGATTATAAATAATGAAAGTAATGAGAATCCAGCTTCTGCTCTCTCCAGTGTGTAAACTTTTCAGTGCTGGAGGGAGCTTAGAACTTTGTAGTAGAAGCAGCGGTTGAACAGAAGATTGTCATTGTATTCTGACATGCTAAACTTCTACAGAGTTGTTCTTTAATAAGTGGGTTTTGTGACATGCCTTAAAAAAGGGTAGGGTGCTATAAAGAAGCACCCAGTTAGAAAGTGATACCTTTTCCTCTCAAATTCAGGGTTTTTTGGTGTTTGGGGGGGCTTTTGTTTTGTTTTTTGAAGGATAACATGTATGTTCTTATGCTACAGCTATTATAAACAGTTGTCAGGTTGAAAATACAGCAGATGCACCTTTTTTAGAGCTTTTCTGACATAAATTATGATTATTCTCTGCAATTTTTTAAAAGGAATCACATAGCAGAGAACTTGATGACTCATTTCTAAAAAGCAGATATAGTCAGTGGTCTGTTTTACTGTAGATAATTTTTGAAAGCTTTTAATAGGTTTTGTGTATGTATATGTAACTGAGGAAGTTGTTTTTTTAAAAAAAGCTCAGGTGAAGAGAATTGATTAAAAAAGCCCCCTTCACCTTCTGCGTTATAATTTGGTAAAGAAAAGCCACACCTGCTTGCAGTGGCTAACCTCAGAAGTGACATGCTTTTGAAGTACAGAGGTGCTTACAGCTAGAAAACGCATGCCAGAGTGTTTCTGTGTTCTGGTTTGAATTCAACTCTGTTAAAAAGCTGCATGCTAAGATGTACTTGTAGCAGTGAAGACATTTTAGTTTGATTTTGTTACCATTAACCATTTCTCACGTTAAGATGATGGGGTTTCAGAGCTTTTCTCAGCGTCGTGGATGGTTTGCGTTAAGTAAAAATACATTTGTGTCTGCAAATCACAATTTCCAATATGGACAAGCAAATAATTTTCTGAAGTGTCTTTGTTTTGAAAGACTTTGAGGCCAGTTGTCAGAGAATGAGTTTATTGGCCTTTAGTTGCAATTTGGCTGCAACTAGACCGAAGAGCTTATTTTATATATATTGAAGTGTTTAGTAAAAGTACTAACTTTGTATCATTTTAGGTTTTCAACAAGTTGTTGAGTCTGGCCAGCACTGCTTCATCTCAGAAGTTCCAGTCACACATGTGGAGTCAGATGTTGGTTTCCACATCTGGGTTTTTGAAGTCTATCTCAAATGTCTCTGGCAAAGACATCCAACCTTTAATAAAGCAGTGGGTGTATCCTTTTTATTCTTGGTCTGGATTGTTAATATGGAGAATGAATTTGTTTTTTTAATTGGCACTATTAAAGGAATGTGAAGAAAGGTATGAAATATCTTTGCTTAAAACAGTTAAGTACATTATTCTTTGAATTAGAAATAGATGTGAGCCACAGGTTTACACTCCTTTCATAGTCATTTAGAGTATGATAGATTTTTGGGTGTTCTTTACTAGAAGGGATTTCATGATTTTAAGTTTTACTTTGAAAGAAGCACAAGAACTCTGCTGGAATTTAGGGCCAAATTACACTGAAGGGATTCCAGAGGACACTGCCCATAGAAATATGCTGAAGTCTGACATGGAAAATGCTATAGTCTGGTGCATTTTAAGATGTGATTTCCAGTAAATCTTTGTGAAATAAGTAACCTAAAGAGCAGATTGATAGTTTAAAATACACTAACATTTAATAGCTTGGTAGCTTGTGTTAATATTACAATTAGAGGTAAGATAAATCACTGTGTTGATTCTTCAGATTTCAGTTATATTAGTTATGAAATAGGATTTCTAATTTTGGATTGATACGAGGGTAAATGTGAATTTGCTCCATTTAACAGGTTTAATTGGTAGCTTTAATTAATGTGACTGTAGGCTAAAATCATATATGACTGTGCAAACCCCATAACTTACTGTTCTAACAGAAAACAAAAGTAGGTATTTATATTTAGACAGTATTTATTTGGGCAGACTTAATATTCATGCATCTCAGTAGCTAACAAACCACTGTAAAATGAATATTTGTAGAGTAATATGAGAAGTTAGCATTTTATCTGCATCAGAAGTATTCATAAGCTACAAATACACATTAATATGTAGGAAGAACTGTAACTCAGATTTGGGGATTTTTCAGCACCCCTGGACTTTGGCCCCAAGGTTGATCCTGTTAACTGTAGCTTGTGTTTAATCCTATGGTTGTCACCTCCTTACCGTGCTTCAAACACTCTTCCACCCCTGCCCGTAGATTTTCAACCTTCTAAGAACACAGCAGGTCTTTGTGTTGTTCGGGAGGTATCTTATTACTATTAATTAGTACTATCTTATGCTGTGTTGATGCTGTTAAACCTTGTGCTGAAGAGGCCACTAAAAATGCCTTAAGCTTTACCTGATGACAAAATGAAACCTTTATGAAGGCAGCCCCAGTGAACAGAACCAGTCTGCGGTATCTAGCCAAATGACCCTATCTGGGGACAAGAGTTAATAATGCATGTACAGTACGAAGCCTCTCTGAATCTGTCAGCTGCTGTCTTAATGTCAGGACATGAAAGAACAGGTTTTAGTTCCCTGCTTTTGTCTTATATTGTCAGGGACTTGTTGGGAGCGTGCACTAGACGAAAATACTTCATTCTGGTGGTTTTGTTTTACTGTAAATGAAGTGTAGCAATGGCAGTTGTAGAAATAATGAATGACGAAGTTACTCACAGGAGCAGTTGCCTTGAAGAAATCGTTGCCTGGGATAGAAATGCAGCGTGAGATCATTACTTTTTATCAGTCACATTGTATACTCATGTGTGCCTGGGTGTATATATATTACATACATGTGAATGCTCACTATGACCCAGTTTGAAAAATTGCAATGAAAAAATGAAATGTAGTGTGAGTAGAAAACAGAAGCTAAAGTCTACATTTCCCCCCGAGTTTTATTTAACTGAAATATATAGTAAAACAGATCATATTGAAATTGCTGAAGTCTTATGCAATTAGTTTCTCTGAGAGCGTGCCAAGGACATTGGGTGTGGTGGTGTCCAATACAATTTTTCATAATGACCTTTTTTCTTACTAGATAATTTTTACTCTACCTCAGCTTTTCTCTGTAAGGTACACGATTGTACATTAAAGAACTGCTTAGAGAAAGAAGGTTGTGAAACATAAGCGGTTATTTCCTGATTTTCTTGTGATAGTAAATTCTAGGTATAAAGAAGCATAAAGCAAGTGTAAAGATTGAAAACACTGAGAATGATGTTTGTTTATAACTACTGCATTTTGCTTTAGAATTCCTATACTTCTTATTAGGGATCAGAGTGGAGTGGTAAAATTTTATGGCAGCTTTGCATTTAACAGAAAACGGAATGTATTGGAATTAGAAATAAAACAAGACTACACGTCTCCTGGGACTCAGAAATATGTGGTAAGGTCAATTTTCCATATTTTGCCTACTTGTATAAGTGTGACACATACATAAATAAGCATAATTGTAATGTTAATAACAATATCTTGTGCATTTGAAGGGTCCTCTTAAAGTGACAGTGCAAGAACTTGATGGATCATTCAACCATACATTGCAGATTGAAGAAAACAGTCTTAAGCATGATATACCATGCCATTCTAAAAGCAGAAGGTAAGAATTAAAATGCACACTGCAAGTATTTTTAGTATGGGTGTAGGAAAACATAGAGTGAATTGATGATATATAAAGATATGTGGTTTAAATTTTGTGTTTACATTTTGTTAATCTTGCTGAGTAAGATCTACCTGTTATGCAAGGGGAGAAAATTGAATTTACTACTGTTTATGGACAGCAAGAAACCTTATACTTAATATGCAGGTCTTAATTATAAGTAAAGGTCTTAAATTTTATAGTTTTATGAAGAGCTTATTTATATAGAATGAGTTGACTAAAGACTAATTATAATCAGATTATTCAAAGTGCCTTTGAATGGGAAAGACAAATTAGAGGGAAGACGAACGTAGGCCAGAGGACATCACTAAACCTAATGAGCAAGAGAAGTAGCCTACTTCCCAAATAGATTCTCTTGGTTTCCTAGTGCATTTTAATAAATACTTTCACCTCTACTTCTCAAAGTTGTATGCTTATGTGTAATTGTAAAAATGGTGGGAGTCCTGTTTAAACCAGTGTAAAGTATTAGTGGTTATTTGGACGAAACTGATACACGGCTCTACTTAGTGAATTTTTTTTGCTGGAGACAGCATTATTTTCTCGTGTGGTGAAATACACAGAGTACTTTTACAGGCTTAAGCTCCGTTTATAAACATATTTTGCTAAATACCTATTTTTTTCCTATTTTCCCTTTTTTTAAATAGAAATAAGAAGAAAAAGATTCCACTGATGAATGGAGAAGAGGTGGACATGGACCTTTCTGCTATGGAGTAAGTCAGCTTGTTGGAGTTTCTCGGTGTTAGACTCAGCCATATTCCCCTTGTCTGAAGCATGCTGTTTTGAAGGATTTGGTAGTAATTTTCTACTTCATTACATGACTGGCAGATTTCAAGACTATACTGTATTTCTTTGCCTTCTCTGAGACTTCTGTAGCTGTGAAAATGCTGAAGTGTAAAACGTATGGGTTAACCGCTATAATCAATTTTTAGTCTTAGACATGATAAGGTGGTAGAATAAATTACTTGATTCTTTATTATACATTTCTAATGGTATCTTTCAGCTGACTTCATAGGTAAAATGTAAACAAGAATTTACTTGAAACAAACTAAGAGCAATTTTTGTTACACCTTGATGAAGACCGTTTTTTAACTAGTATTAAGGTAGCACAAGTTCCTGAAATCTGTGGTTAATTCTGAAAGAATCCTTTTAGATTGAAGATAAATGATTTAACGCTTCTTACTGAAATTCGTACTGGCGTTCCTTTCAGTTGGAACTGTTTAGCTCTATTCTAGCAAATTCTTGCTGAGTGTAAGGACCCACTTTACCCTCCCTGTGTTGGAGCCAGTGATACTCTCAGAAATACTGAAGGTGTTTGTATCCTGTGCTGGCTGAGGGAAGTAAATAATTTGCTCTTGAAAACTAGCAGTGTCTCTTTTAAGAGGAATAGATTCCTTGTCACCTTAAAAGTGTTCTCATCTAAAATAAGATGAGCAATAATATTTTTAAGGGATATTTTCATTGAGCAAGTGATTGTTATAATTTCTCTATGATAGTTGACATATGAATAAATAGTTTTTAAATTGTATTTGAGAGCAATCAGCCTAAGTGTTTGTGAGTAGCTGTGATGTTCTGATCAGTTGTGTTCAGGTAGCTGTTGCATTACACTGAGCTGAGACCTTCACGATCTTCTCGTAACTACTTTTGGACTGCTGTGTGATGTTACGGAAGTCACTTATGCTTTGTTTGTCTGCTAACCTGCAAATCTGCTATGCCATCATTCTTTTGTCCAGTTTGGACTCCTCTGCTCCAAGCATGTAGGATAATGTTTGTTCTTCCCTATTCTTCTGTATCCTGTGTATGCACAGTTCACTATGCTTTCTTCTCTAGCTGCTGTCTTGACAGTCTACAGACATATATAGAAATATGCATGATATTTATAATCATGCTCTTTTCATCATTCCAAACTCTCTCCAAATTCCATGTCTGTATTTTGCTGTTACCAGTTTTTTGTGGAAAACTGAATAAGAGACTTTATTGTGTAGTTTATGCTTGATGCTCCCATAAATGACTTCTGCGATCATGGTGCTGTGTGAACGCTAAAGTATAAAACACTTCTTTGGGGTGAATACAACTGAGTTATTTTATCTGTAGGACTAAAGCTTTAATGCTGTCTGATACTTTCACTTTTATCATTTGTCTTGGCAGTTTTGTGCTTTTGCATCATTACCCTTGTCAGCTTTCAACATCATAGCCTGTGTGTATTTGTAAAGCACTTTCACATCTATTGATTTTTTAAAAAGTCTAAAAAAAGGGTATAAATAATGTGCATTAAAATGTGTATAATGTGTATAAAAATGTGTTATAATATGTATTAAAAAATGGGTAATTACCACCAGAGTTTTTTTTGTTGGATTTCTTTTTTGATAGCCTTGAACTGTAGAAGGTGATAAAGTACTGCTCACCTAGGAAAGTTACGGTGTCTGAGGAAGTAGAATTAAATATATTGAGATTATACAGTAGTTTACCATGAACTCAGGTCTCTAGGCTAAAAATACTGAACTACTGTATTCACTTTGCCATATTAGAGGCTTGGTCAGATTGCCCTGGGAGGGTACAGAATTGCCATCCTAGAAGCAGGAGATTGGACTAGGTGACTTTCAGAAGTCATCTCTAACATAAATTCTTTCATGGTTCTTTGACTGTAAATATTTTAAAAATAACTCATTGCAAGTTAGAACATCTTTTGCATTTCTATAGTCTTGAAATGTTGTAAGCTATTAATGTTTTTCATGTCTGTCTTAGTGCTGATTCCCCTTTGCTCTGGATAAGAATAGACCCTGATATGTCAGTACTGAGGAAGGTAGAATTTGAACAATCTGATTTCATGTGGCAGTATCAGCTTCGATATGAGAGAGATGTGGTTGCACAAGAAGAAGCCATTCTGGCATTGGAAAAATTCCCTACTCCAGCATCACGGCTTGCACTGACGGATATACTAGAACAGGAACAGTGTTTCTACCGAGTGAGAATGCTGGCCTGCTTCTGCCTTGCAAAGGTGAGGCTGTGTAGGTGGGAGAGGGGGAAAAAATCCACTAGACATTGTAAACTTCTGAAAATGGGTCAAAACTCATCGCAGTTCTTAAACTGGTTTGATATTCAGCCTCTTAAAAGTTTTTGCCAGGTATTTTCAACACGACTGATTTGAAAGGAAAGCTGTATTATTTTAGTCTGTAAATGGAGACTGCAGAAGGTTTTCATAATTGTCAAAATTGAGATGTCAGACATGAAAACCACAGGGGATTTTTCCAGATTTCATTAAGTGGCAGAAATAAAAGACTTGTGTTAATTTTTCAGAGCCAAAATATATTTTCTTATTTTACTGGGAAGTTCCTTGGCCTGTCTGTTGAGAACTCTGGAGTGCTGAAATTCGCCTGTCTGCCTAATATGAATTCAGATTGCTGCTCTGCATTGGTTCAGATTGAATAGGAGGACACAAAATAAATATCATGTTGATCTGCAGTTAAATATTAAAAAGCCAAATAATTGCCTTGAAAAGGGAATATCTTTTTATCTAGACACAAAATTACATTACGAATGAAAATTAGAGAACCCTGTAAAATACTGAAGAAAAGGAATTTATGAAAAGGCATGTTGTTCACATATTTTTATGGACCTAAAGGCATACTTATTGACAATGTTTAGAGTTCAAATTATTGGCATATATCTTGCTTTCTGCTGTGTACCTGTTGACAGTAATTCAGTGCCTGTATGGAAATAAGTCCTTTGGCCATATTTTGAAGATCAAAATCCAAGAAATGTTTGTGACAAAGTGTTTTAATATTATGAAACACTGATACCATACTTCTGGTATATATGCTAGTATTGCACTGCCTTAAAATACACACATTTCATAATGAATTCACTTGGAATATTTAAAAGTGTACATTCCACAGATAAATATTAAAGTCTTACTTTGAATTCTCAGACAATTGGGCTGTGGATAATCATAACCAGTGTTGTCCAGTTGTAATTGCATGAAGAATCTTGGGTCTACAGATAAGGTAGTTGAATGTCAGGAAAAAAAGATTATAAAGCTAAGCAAAAAGTGTGTCTGTGACATTGCATCAAGGTGAAGGAGCATGGCAGGACCGAGTTGTAGATATGTCTATGTAAGTTACCTAGGGGGAAAGTGTAATGTATTCTATTACCACTTCCTGTTCTCATTAACTCAGTTTAATCTTCACAGCTTGTAAATATTGAGGGTTTGTATTCTTTCGAGGAAAAAGCCAAGTCCCTGATGTTTGTTAGGGGAGGCTTCTTTTTTGTTGATCTGCAGCTTGTAGCTGGGTTGTGGTTAGTACTGTAAAATGTATTTGGCACCCTCACATTGATGCAGAGAAATGAGAGGTGGTAATGCAATCATAAAACTGAATTTACTATGCTTTCTAAATGTACTGTATACTTTGTTGTAAAACAGCACTTCTTAGGCATGAGGTGTCCAGAAAATATATAAAATCCTCATTGATGACAAAGTTCATAGGGGAGTGGGTGGGTGGGTGTGCATATGCACACCCTTTGCTGAGTAGGTAATGACAAATAAGCCTACAGAGAAAGGAGACAACAGGTCACGGTATTAACACCTGGGAGTAAACAAGCTGGTTTTCCTGTTCAAATCCATTGCAGTGTTGGTGATGTGCTGTAAGGTTTAAAAAAACACAAAAAGAGCACCACAAGCTCCCCCCCACCCCCCAAACACTGAACAGTTTCTTAGCTGTGCCTTACATCTTAGGACAGTTTTTTATGGTACAGTGAACTGAAGGATGAGGAGAGTATTTGCCATCTTTTTAAGAAGAAACAATGCAATACAGGCTTAAATGCATTATGGTGTGGGGAGTGTGTAAATACGTGTAATGTGGAGTGTATAGCCTGTCAGTGGAATAAATAGAAAACTTGGGTTCTGTCAGTTTAAAGAGAAATTCAAATGAGTTAGAACACACTATAAGACCAAAAAATGCTGAAAATATGATGATTTAACTACTGTTGATTTAATTTGAAAATATTGTTGTTCATCTATGGATTTTGCAAATTAAGTAAGATCTTAAGTAATTGCCTAAGTAAGAGCAATGGTGAAATGGATTGCTATGCATCTTCAGATAGCCTCTTGCCATTTTTCTCTTACTGCATATGTAATACCCTTGGAAACAAATTACATAATTTAGAAGGATATCATCAAATTCTTTTTTTTTTTCTGTATGAAACCAGGTTTTTCCTTAGTTTGTGGTGGGCCTGTAACGTTGGAAATTCCCCCTGCACTGTAGGGTGCGTTAGCCCCATTTGTTTGCACACACACACACGTGGAATCTGTCATCAGCCTTAATCCGACATCAAGCACAGTGTTCTTGTCTGCAGGCTTCCATTGCTCCATACAGCAAACATACAAACCCCAGGATGCTGGGAAGGCACAAAAGCAGCTTTCTCTTTGTGGAAGGTTACCACCTTACACCAAAACAGAATGTAGCCATAAGTTTGTCTCAGTGCAGTCTCTTTGCGAATTATGATTGAAGTTAGAGGTAGCTGACTTGCCTTTCACTTTAGGGGTGGTCTTTTAGGCCTCAGCCACCCTAAGACTACTTAAAGTCTAGGCTGAGGTTACTGGCAAGGTATATTTGGGAAGCTGGTATTACAAAAGCCTCTTCCATTACTGGCTTCTGTAGAGTCAGGAAACTTGGCCTAGTAAACACAGAATTTTCATCTAAAATATAAAAGAGAAAATAATTAAGAACAGAATTTTATCATGGAAAGGTAATTAGTTGCAGGCATCTTCCAAGTGGAAAAAATTTTCATAAAATTTACCTTTAATGTAGAGAAGATATGTGGGGGATGGCAGTGAAAACAGCTAATATAAGGTAATACATTGGTAAAAAATAGCTAGGCTACTTGAAGGACAGCATCTCTTTGGCAATTAACCTTTTTGATTATGGGAAATGTGTATTTTTCTACAGCCAAACTAAACTTGTCATGGTCATGTTAATGCAATTTCCCTTCCCCCCTAATTACACAGATTGCAAATTCCATGGTAAGCACATGGACAGGACCACCAGCCATGAAATCACTCTTTACCCGAATGTTCTGTTGTAAAACTTGTCCAAACATTGTGAAGACCAACAACTTCATGAACTTTCAGAGCTACTTTCTGCAAAAGGTAAAATTTATTTTTTTTCACTGAATGTTTTATAAGAAATGTCAGAATAATTAAACATTCCTATGGTTGACATCTACAGGAATGTGGATAGCATAGTTCTGCTTTACCTCTTCATAAAAATCCAAAATAACTAGTTCGTTCTTATATGGCGTATGTTTGTCCCATCTTCGCCAGAAATCAGTTCACAAAATTTTAGCATTTTTTTCTGAGTAGCTGAAGTTAAATTTAGCAGTTTCTTCAGAAGAATGGAGTACATCTAATAATTATTTGTAAATATTTGTGAGCTCATTCTTAAACAGAATTTATTGCACTGTAACAAAGCTACTGATTTTATCTTTTAGGTGAACTGAGCAGCTGTCTTCATCCATTAAGTGTGATGATAACATACTACAAATAAAATCTCATACAGTTTATCTTAATTTGGTGGGCTTTTCAGTTCAAGACAATGCATGATCTTTCTTGACCTCTCCTTTCGGTTAATTGTCAACATCACGTACTGCTGCCGCATATTTTGATGTTAATGCAGGTGTTCTTCACTGGGACGTACAGTTGTTAGTTGTATAGTGGAGAACAAAATCAATGACAATGGTTTTCTCTCAAGATTCACTTCGTAATTATTGGATGATTCAGTTTTTATTTCATGGATTTCATATTCTGTATTATGCAGAAAACTCAAATTTGTTTTCTTATTGTGTCCAAAACTCCTTCATCCTTCTCCCCATGACTCCTTCATCCTTCTCCCTGTGACTCCTTCTTACACCTTCTTTTGTATTTTTCTGCTCTTTTTTGTCTTTGAATATTCTTTTCCAGTAAATCTTACCTTTCTCTCCTTTAATCCCATATCCCAAGTTTATAGATCTAGAGTAGGACTCCTAAATCTGTATGAGTGGAGTCTAGAGAGCTGCTTAGCTCATTCTAAAATAAATACCTTATCTGGCTAATACCTGTCTGGCTAAGAATTCTTCAGGATCTATATCTCTCAGTGATAATGGAAGGTTAGACATCGTGTTCACATGAAAACAGCCAAATTCAGCGTCTGTCTCAGAATTAGTTCCATCATAATTTTCTGTGTTTCATTATTTTCCATTTGTTACCTTTTTGATAGTGCCTTGACTTGAGAGTGTTTTCTTGGATATACAGTTTTTTCAAATATTTACACCATGACTAATTATTGAGCAATAGTTAGTTTATTTGGTATGAAAATTATATAGCATGTGGTGTGACTTTCAAAACGCATTTAACTTTTCAGAGGTTTGCTAAGGTAAAATTCCAATTGTTCATTTTCAGGATGTTGCTCTTTTTAGGGTGTAACTGTTATTTCACTAATGTAAGAATGATGTTAGTATTAATTTTATTACACAGACAATGCCTGTTGCCATGGCCCTTCTGAGAGATGTTCACAATCTCTGTCCTAAGGAAGTTTTAATGTTTATTTTGGATTTGATCAAGTATAACGATAACAGGAAGAATAAGGTAACAAATGTATTTATTTTAATCTTTCACTTTTTTTTTGTGGAAAGTCTGAGTTAATATGCATGATGTTTTATGCCGCTAATGTAAATATCTTGCTAGGAGAATTGATGAAAAGGTGATACACTAAACAGTAAATGTTACACAGTGCTCTGCAGCTGACATTTCTATGGCAGCATTTCTTGGGTGTTTCAAGGCTCTTTGTGCCTGTTGACTTACTAAGGAGCAGCCTGTCTTCATTTGCACGCAGTATGTGTGCATGAGGCAACACGTAGCATTCAAAGTTAAGCACTGGGTTGTCGGGGCCTTTTTTCCCAGCTCAAGAAGAGTATTTGAAAGAGCAAGGAAAGAAAACAATCTTTTTTTAATGATATACAGGAGACTGAGATTCTGGGTTCTGAATGTCAGCTGTAGCTCACAGACCTGGATTGTCTTCATCTAGTTAAGTAACAGCTCAAACCCAGGTGAATATTTTTCCATCACTAAATTGAAGCATCTGAGTTGGAAGTGTTGTCACCTAAAGTTCCTTCCCACACAGACCATCTCTGAAGGATGATTAGGTGACCTGTAAGATCCTGACATCATACAAAATTCCATCTCCCTAGCTACGGAGGAAGTCTACAGTTGCTAGGAGCCGAGCATAATCTTCCCAACTAGGTACCCAAAGTTAAGTGGAACAAATCTGAAGCCTCTTTAAGCCTCACTTTCTTGGGTGTAGAAACACATACTGTAACAAGACTCTTGTTGCAAGACTACTGAAATAGGGGGATGATAGAGGGTGGAGAGGTAGAGAGTTCGACATGTGAATTTAAGTACGAGTAGTCACAGAATGTGGTGAGTTGTGCTAACATCTCCCCACCACCAAAGGAGATCTCCCACTTCACTCTTCCACATGTCAAATACATGTGTGGAAGGGACGCCATCTATCACCGGGTTTGTTTACATTAAATGAACTAATACTCAAATCCAGTACTTTTCTCTGCTTTTTAAATTTTGGTTTTATACTTTTTGCTGCTTGCTAAATTAACACAACCAACAAATGCAACAGCCAGCATAATGGAAGGGGTGACACTGTGAGCCCAGTAAAAGGAGCAAATGAAGAAGCAAGATTTTCCTCACTAAGCAGCAGTGGGCCCATTAGGTATTTCACAATCTTCTGAGATGAACTATCTAGAGAAACAGGCTGATCTTCTGAGGTCCTGAGCACCCATTAACCTTGGTAACTTTGGTATTGAATATGAAAAGAGACAGGTAGTTTTAGGTGCTCACATTTAGGAATAATAATTTCTATTTTTTGAATCTGGAAAATTTTCAATGCCTGATTTTTCCATTTTTATAAAACTGTATTGCTATCAATATGCTCATGTTACTATTCATATGCTCATATAACAGAGTGAAGATTAATGATTGATAGTATGTCTGCTTGTTCAATCACTCTCAAATCCATTTTCAGAATAAATTTATTCCTGTTATGCTTTCTCGTGCAGTTTCTCACATGGTTTTAATTTTAAGACCCTGTTCTGTAACAATGCTTCAACATTTCTTAGCTTTTCAAGAATATATATTGTTATATTTGCTTGTGTTTAAATACTGTTTTTTATCTAGTTTTCAGACAACTACTATCGTGCTGAGCTGATTGATGCCCTAGCCAACTCTGTAACTCCTGCAGTCAGTGTGAACAATGAAGTTCGAACATTGGATAACTTAAATCCTGATGTTCGACTTATCCTTGAGGAAATTACCCGTTTCCTAAATATGGAGAAGCTTCTTCCCAGTTACAGGCATACCATTACAGTCAGGTGTGGTTTAATAATTGTTGTACGCATGAAGACAGCAGACCCATTAATGCTACCCTCTTGGGTTGATTGCTTTAGTTTTCAACATTAATTTGTGTCAGTGTAGAGTTGGTAGCGTTGATCATGCTTGTGCCTCTTTAAGAAGAGCATTTATGAAAGTTTTGCAAAAGGTAGCCTTGTAACAATATCTGTAGACTACACAACAGAATCTGAGCTGCATTTTCTCTGTACGTTAATACAGTTCTACTGAAACCAGACAATGGTTTTGACATGGTGGGGAATTTTGTTTGTGTTTCTGCCTAATTCAAAGTTAATGAGAGTATCGTGGTTTAACTCCAGCTAGCAAAATACCACAAAGCCACTCTCACAAATCCCCCTCCCCTCCACCAGTGGAGGGGAAGAATCGGAAGAAAAAAGAAATAAGGAAGCTCGTAAAATTGAGATAAGAACTATTTACTATTTAAATCTAAATTAATATGTACAAATGCTACTAATAATAAATAATTAAAATAATAGAAAATAAAAGTTGCTGTTGGGGTGGAGCTATTTGTTAATGCTGTGGAAGTAATTGTAACATTTTAATTTAGATAATAGAATTCTAGAAAAGTTGTAGTACTTGATTTTGAAGAAAGTAATCTTATTCTTTTTGGCTGGCATTCCAGAAACCTAATGTACATTTCCTCTTTCTACCACATCTAGCTGTTTAAAAGCTATTCGAGTCCTTCAGAAGAATGGTCATGTCCCAAGTGATCCTTCTCTCTTCAAGTCATACGCAGAATATGGGCACTTCGTAGATGTCCGAATAGCAGCATTGGAGGCTGTTGTTGATTACACAAAAGGTACTTTTTTCCAGTATTTGACACTTTCTAATATTTGTCATGTAGTAGAAAAATGTAATACTTACATCATTAATATTAGGCTGAAATACCGGCGACCAGAAGAGCTGGTGTGATGACAGATGTATTGATAAGAAGCTCAGATTGCTATTAATGTTTTGCCCTAGAGAATGCAGGTTTTATGAAGATGGGGTGAGCATTGTTTCACAGTGTCTTGCAAATTGAATCACACACCTAAGTTTTGAAATAACGAGTATACAGCAAAATGAGTAGTGGTAAGAGGGTTTTGGTAATTTCTCTTAACGCTTCATTTTTAGTGATTTTGATTGAGTTCAGCCATAATTACTAGTCAAAATTCTTGGGTTTGCTTTACCTTCTTGCTAATCTCTTGATTTTGCTTTTTGCATGTATCTTCTGGTTATAAATTTGGGGAACTTAGATTATTTTAAAGATTATTGGTTGATTTCTGCTTTGCCACTCTTTATACATAGCTTATGTTTGTGTTACGTTTCCATTCTTTTAATGTTGTCTTTATTTTAGTTAACTGTTGCAGGTCCTGGAAAAAGATTACTGGGTAGCTTTCTTTAATGTCATTTGAAGTTGAAATTCAGTCTTGACAGAATTTCTAGATGCAGTTAGAAATTATAGCTTCAGAATCATAGACTGGTTTGGATTGGAAGGGACCTTAAAGCTCATCTAGTTCCACCCCCCCTGCCATGGGCAGGGACACCTTCCACTAGACCAGGTTGCTCAAAGCCTCATCCAGCCTGGCCTTGAAGACATCCAGGGATGGGGCATCCACAGCTTCTCTGGGCAACCTGTTCCAGTGCCTCACCACCCTCCCAGGGAAGAATTACTTCCTTACGTCCAATCTAAATCTCCCACTTTAATAATTTGCATTTTATAAAATGATCTTAGTACTACATTCATGTGGGTTAGCCTTTTTCTATTCAGTAGAATTGTGACAGTTCTTGTGTTTTAAGGGTTATTTGTACCAATTCTTCCTCTGTGAGCAGACTGGTGATTGTAGATTTCCAGTTATTCTGCCTCAAATTTAATGTTTTCATTTTCAGGGTAATGGAGAGTTTCCTTTGTTTTCCGCATGAATAATTGTTTTTTTCTTTTTTATAAGGCTGTATTACTTTGATCTTACTGCTGTCATTCTGTCCAAAGACTTCTCAAACTGAGTGGGCAGTGGGAGGTTTTAAGTTGTTGAGTGAATGCATCAGAGGAATTTGGACATATGCTTACAGACTGAAACCAGACTGTCACGCAGAAAAACTAACAACTTAAAGGGAGACTGTGCACTGAGCATCACTCTCAGACCCAGTCTTCATCCTTGTCGTTCACCAGACATGCTGTATCCATGCACCCACTGCACGTGTACATTTGGTGACCCTGTGAGTGATAACCCAGCGAGAATTCATAACTCTGCTGGTGCTGTGCATCTCTCTCTGTTAGGCTGCTCACTTTGTTCTCCTTTCAGAGAGTGTTAGTGGAAAGATTTGCTGGAAAATGGAAAGCTTAGTCATCAGCCTGCTTCCTTTAGAATAATCTCCTCGCTAATTCATCCCACCCTTTGGAAAGAGAAACTGATAGAAATAATGTTTTCTTATTAAATTCTTGACCTTTTATGGATGGTGTTTATAGTTAATAACTGCTTGGATAAGAAAATGTTTGTACTGCAAAGGAATATTGTACCTATTTCAAACAGCTGATCAAATGGGTTTCTGTATAAGCAAGGTAGGGTAAGCTGCTCGCAGTACTCTACAATAGGGTGAAACTTCAGTGGTAAAAGATAGTAGAAAGATTACTTGAAGAAATCAGTGATTGAGCAGAACGTAGTTTTTGACTGAGCTCACTGTGAGATCTGGAAATGATGGATCAGAGTATTACTGTACCTAACTGGCTTGTCCCTTGCCAACGGCTTTTTCTCTGATGCAGAGGTAGCAGATGCAAATACCTATCTACTCTAATGTCACTACAGTTCACAACACAGCCTACTATCTAACTGGTCATCACTATCATTTCTCAAATACAACCTTCCAGCACTGAACACATTATCTTCTGCTCCTGCTGTGAGACTGGTAAGTTTTTGGTGTAGGAGTAAATGTGGAAGCTCAGTGTTCTGACTGCCTTCCTCAGCTACGAGTGCTTGTCTCACAGAGCCCTAGACCTGGCTTTGGAAGGAGAAAGGATTGGCCATCTGTTGCCAAAAGGTCTGATTCTTGTTGTTCCCGGCTACCTGGTTTCCAGTTCATACTGGATGTAACCCAGCAGCTATCAAATGCCTGTTGCTTGTGCCAAAGCTGGCTTTTTAACAGTTCTTGTAAAGGAAGCTGACAGATTTTGTAATTTCCATAAAAAGGAAAGTCTGTATTTTCTGGGGCAGTCAGTGTGGAACTCCCATGTTTTTCTATCAACTCTCAGGGTAGGAATAGCAATGCCTTTTTTTAAGTTACTTTAAAAGAAATTGTTTCTCCATGGAACTGAATAAGTTGTTTTCTTTGCTGTTAATAGTGAGGGTTTTTTTGAGACATGGTAACTCAGTACAATGCTTGAGGCAGCGTATAAGGACTTGGACAGTTGATCTAAACTGGCTCAGAGTGAACAGAGTTTATTAACTTTTTTCAGTTAGTGTCTTATGGTTTTATGACTATTAGTAGCTATATGTGTACAACAGAGCAGTTGCATATTTATTAGAGGTAACCACAAACTGTTCTAAATAAATAACCATGATTATCTAATCTCATTAATATTAAAGTTTAGGGTCTTAGAGATGCTCTGCTGCAACTGAAAACTGATAAACCATCTCCTGCAATTTGCAAAAAAATCTCAGGAGGCTTTTTAGTTCAGAAGGCAACCACTTGTTTCTATATCTACCAGAAGTATGAACATCAACACATCTTTCTTTTTCCACAGCCTTCTAGACAAACCAGCAAGATGCAGACAGGTTGGGTGGTCTGTGAGATGGGTTGGGAATTGGGTCAAGGGCCACACTCAGAGGATGGCCGTCAATGGTTTTTACTCAGGCTGGCTGCCTGTCACAAGTGCGGTCCCCCAGGGAACATCTTCATTAATTATCTGGACAACAGCATTGAAATCACCCTCACAAGTTTGCTGATGACACCAGGGTGGGTGGTGAGGTGGACACATCAGAAGGTAGAGCCATCGTACAGGGAGACCGGAACAGGCTGGAAGAGCAGGCCAACAAGAACTGTGCAAAGTTCAACAGGGACAAGTGCAAGGTCCTGCCCCTGGGTCGACATAACCAAAGAGCCCAGGACAGGCCCGGTTCTGTGTGTCTGGGGAGCAGCGTCGCTGAAAGGGCCCTGGGGGTCCTGGCAGACAACAATGTGACCATGAGTCAGCAGTGCAGTGCTGCAGCAACGAAGGCAAATCAGATCCTCGGCTGCATCCACAGGGGCATTACTAGCAGAGACAGAGATGTGATCATCCCACTCTACTCAGCACTTGTCAGACCACACCTGGAGTAGTGTGTCCAGTTCTGGTCCCCACAATTCAGGAAAGATGTGGGCAGACTGGATGGGGTCCAAAGGAGGGACACAAAGATGATCAGAGGGCGGGAGAACCTGCCCTGTGAGGGAAGAGTGAAGGACTTAAGGTCTTTTCTCCCTGGAGAAGGGAAGGTTCAGGGCGACCTCTTCACAGTACCCCAGTACTTAAAGGGTGGCTACAAAAAGGATGGAGGCTCTCTCTTCACAAGGAGCCATGTGGAGAGGGTAAGGGGCAACATGTACAAGTAGCACCACGACAGGTTTCATCTTGATATAAGAAAGAAATATTTTACAGTGAGAACAGTCAATCAGTGGAACAACCTCCCCAGGGACATGATGGAGTCCACGCTGGACTCCACACTGGAGGTTTTCAAGATGCAATTGGACAGAGTGTTAGATAATCTCATCTAGACTCCCTTTCCCATGAAAGGCTGGGCTAGGTGATCTTTTGAGGTCTCTTCCAAACTAGTCTTTTTTATGATTCTGTGATTCTTCTGGCTAATAAGATTTGTTCTGCCCAAGGTCAGGTTTACTTTGTCATTGCTCCTGGAAATGTTTTGTAGTTGCTATATAAGTTTGAAGAGCAGGTTAAATGCATTAGTAGCAAAATTTTGAAAATCTAGCAGGCTCAGTTTACACTATAAGGCAAGTATCAGGGAAAACTTCCATTATATCAAGCACAAATAATTTTAAGAAGCAAAAAAGACTGTTAACCACAGAAGTGTGGTGTTCCTTGGTTCTGTTATCCAGTACTGTCAGCCTAAAGGATTCATCTCCTAGACTTCTCATTTTCTAATCAAAAATCTTTTTAAAATCCCTTTTGTTAGCAGACAAAATAATAGCAGCTTGCTTATGATTGTGACCTAGTGTGTTCGCCATTTGTGAGTCTTTGCTGCATGGTTATACAATAGTATTTTTCTTCCATGCAAAACAACTTATGTATGCATTGTTGTAGCTGCCTTCTCTCTCAAGCAAGGTAGCTGCCAGGAAAAGCAGCTGTGGATGGAGTTGAGCACAGGCAGTCACTGTCCCTTGAAAGTATATCCTAGGCATAGCTTTGCAAAGGTTTCTCTGATTTTTAAATTGAGAGACTGGGAGATTGCGGTTCTGGTCTGTTTGGATACAGTCCAGTTCAGTGCCTCAGCAGTTAACCACTTCTGTTTTGGTTGGGTTGTAGGAAGAGCAGAGCTGACTTGCAAGGGGCCTGCAAAAGACTATTCAGCTATCTTCTAAGCAATATTGTAATGTAGTTTTTAATTGCTTGGCTGCCTCCTCCCAACCCAAGAAAACAGGTCTTTTGTTCTAGTTGTCCAAAGTATTTAAAGGGATTCTAGTAGAACTGAAGTGCAGCTTCTCACAATATGGTTTAAATAATTGCCTCTTTCTTTAAAAGCAACTTACCCTGGTGAAAGAACAAGGGAATAATAGGTATTAGAATTGACTGGACTAGAAAAAAAACTGTTGACTGAAAACTGACTGAGATCAGGGAGGGAAGTTGAAGTGATGTATTTAGAACTAAAAATGCAGTAGGCTTGGGGGAGAAAGAAATTCATTGCTAGGACCACGAAACGGAAAGCAACAGAAATGTTTTTAGAGCTGGAATCATTAGTACATCCCAAATTCTGAAGTAAAGCAAAGCCTAACCAAGCTTTTTGTTGTTTTGAGGAAATGAGAAAAGAATACTGCTGTGAAATCTTAAAATTATGCACCAGAGAGAAAGATTACACAGAACGTGACAATTTTTATGTAATCGGTGATGATGATATCCTGTATTGTTTCTGTTTTGCAATGTTACTCTGACAACCAAAAGAATTTTGTCATGTAATTTAGATTTTAAACTATCAAGCTGATTTTGTTTCCAGTAGTGTCAAGCAGCAATTTTCTAGGAAGCATGTGCTGCTAAGTTTCAAAATACATTTTAATTGTGAAGTACACTGGTACAAGAAATGAAACGAGCCTACTGAGAGGAGTATGCTTGCTGCTTTGTGTAAGCCCTGTAGTCTTCCTCTTTCTAACCTATAATAATCTTTCACGGATTCCTGTGTATGAGAACTGTATGTTCTCTATTCCCTAAGGAAAATATTACACTTCTGGTTGTTGAAAGAATATTTGAATATGTTCATTTTAGGAAGCACACAATAGCAAGAGGATCATTTACTCTGTGACCTTCCCGTCAACGCTCAGAAGTGACTGAGTTACCTGGTAACAGTCAAGTTGGTAGTTATTGAACAATTGAGGCATGAGGGAGTTTGGTGCACATTTCTATTTCAGTGTAAAGGAAACCACATTTTACTTTGAATTTCCTCTATAATTAATGAAATTCCTCTTTAGTTGCAGTGATTCAAGCTCTTTGTATGCCAGTTCAGGAATATTGTCTTGATCAAATCCTTCCAGTTCATGTATATCCATAGGCATTCTGTTTTATTGTTCTTCGCAGTTGATAGGAGCTATGAAGAACTACAGTGGCTGCTTACTATGGTTCAGAATGACCCTGTGCCCTACATAAGGTTAGTGAGTTAATAAAGAGACAGTATTTTACTAAAGCTGGAACAGCAAAGTAAATTCTTGGCCTGGAATTGCTAGAATAGACCGAATGCTTGACTGCTTAATACTCCTTCACAAAACTGTTTTTTTCTTCTTGTTGTTTCATATAAATTGAAATGTGTTTTGATGTTATAGCAGTTCACATCTCAGAAATGAATATACTTTGTTGTTACTCTCTGTTACATTATTTTTGGGTTTTATGCTCTACCCCTGTGGTGGAAGTCTGATGTTAGAGGTTGTTTCCTGACCATAAATAAAGTATATACATCTGATGTTGCACAGAGCAAAAAGACTTCAAGATATTTAGACAAGACAGAGGTTGAGGCATAGGACACACAATGTTTTGCCAGCAAGGAGTGTAAAGCAATTGTTAGACTGTAGATGGGGTGAAAGGACAACGTGAAAATGCGGTGTCATTTCTAGTACTGCCTGTTTCAACTTTGGTTTCAGCAGTTAACGCTGGCTATTTTAGCACATTCATTATAAACCTTTGAACACTGAGGTTCATAATCATTGTTTTTCCCCAATACTTTATTCTTATGGGATGAACAGTATTACTTTTACTCTGTCTCCAAAGGTGATTTCTTCCAAAGATCGTGGCTGCAAGGTCATTCTGTATTTCATTTCTGTCATTCTTGTTAATGAAAGTAGATACAGTTAGACTCACTAGAGAAGGTTTAGCTTTGGTCTGGGAAGGAGATCTAATCTGATTTGTATCTTTTTTAAAGAGAAGTTTAAATTTTGAATTGAGTGCAACATGTAAGCCTCTTCTGAAAGGAAAAAAAAAAAAAAAATCTGTAAGAGTTTTCTTGTCCCAAATGTGTAAGACAGCAGGAGGAAAGCTGGCTATGCAGGCAAAATAGTTCAAATAATAAGTAATGGAACAAAAAATTATTGTCATTCATAAAATATTTTCAAGGCGCAGTTTAAAGGAAGAAGGTGGGGAAAAGCGTATCAGCTTTCAGCTCAGCGTGTAAATATTGTAAGCAAACATGGTGAGTGCAGGATCTTTATACACCAGTGTAACTTGAGAAGAGACAGTGCTCCTTTCCCGAAAAATGTGCAAGTTGCTGGTTTTGGTCCTGCTATTTTGTATCAGTCATAAACATTTAAAGTTAATTAAATGATCTTTGGTGTTAGTATGTAAGGAGTTTATTTGCTGATGTTGCTCCTTCTTTGTAATTACCAAGTCAGCATGCAAAAAAGATTGTTACTAAACAGAAGAGCATGATGTGGCCTACAGGTTTGTACCTAACTGTTAAAAATTATGTCTAATAACATCCTGTTGCTTTACACTTACTTTTTATTGTTAGGTTATATTGCTATTGGTAAAGCTGTGTCTCTGCATATTGTGGGAAGAAGGAGAACTAAAAGCATAAATCATTGATTAAAATTTTGGGAAGAAATTCTTTATTTGATTAAGTTTCTAATACTGCAAACTGAACTGACTTTGTATTCTTAGTGTATTCATTTGCATTTAATAAAGATGTCTTTTTCCATTTCTTTTTCAGGCATAAGATTCTGGATATGCTGACTAAGAATCCACCTTTTACCAAGAACATGGAGTCCCCTTTATGTAATGAAGCTTTGGTAGATCAGCTTTGGAAACTGATGAATTCAGGTGGGTTTTTTGTTTGGTGGTTGTTTTGTTAGTTTCTTGGGTTTTTATTGTAATTTTTTTTGAAGCAAGTGTTAAAGACTTGCTTCAGAATATGCCATGGGCTTTTTAGTTTCGATAGTTAGAAAATGAAAATTCAGTCTCAGAAATTCAATGTCACGTATGTACCTCCAGAATTTTCACAGTGACACAGGGTACCAAACCTTGGGTTTTTTTTCTGTTGTCTACTGCTGGAGTGTGCTCTGATGTACTTTGTCAAAGAATGATTCTTTGGCCCAGATGTTCAAAGGAAATGAACCTCAAATGATGGTGTCTGTTACCTTTTTCTTATAGTTTGCTTTACGATTATGTAGTCTCTCTTTGTCCTCTTTTACTAAACTCCAAGAGAATGAGGGGATAACACTTGTATAGATAATTTAAATGAGATTTTTAGAAGTGCACTCTAAACCGAAGATTCAGTTTGCCTTCTGTGATTAGGAAAGGTCCTAATGAGAGAAGGTCTTGAGCTTTACCATTGACTGGTTTTTCATTACTGAAGCGGTTTTATCCAGTCCTGACAAACTGCCCTTTAACATCTGGCACATTACTATATAGATTACATATAAACATTTAGCTTTTTTAGGTCATTGAAGGCTGTCTTCTCTCTGTACCATTATTTTTAGTGTTTAAAAGTTTACAGCTACACTCCAGGGGTTGAACTGGGGAGACTGCTAGTAGTTCAGTTTTGTAGGATTTGCCAAGTGTCAGGCACAGAAAATAAACAATTTTGATTTTCCCATCACTGAGTTTGTTTTTTCTTTTTCTTGAGAGAAGAGTGTGTGCAGTGTTAGTTACAACCATTACCTCTTTTTGCAAGTAACAAATAGGGTATACATTATTATTATGATTCATGGGGCTTCAAGTACTTAAATTTCTACACATAAAGATGACATAATGTTTCAATTAATTTGCTGTAAGGGATAACCCTAGCATTCCAGGGTGCCTTGAAAAAATGTTTGTTAATCTGAGACAAGGTAGAGCCAGGTTTAAAGCTGCATGATTCTAGAATCATGAGTTGCTTTTATAAATAAAAGCATGTTAAAACATAAGCACATGCAATACAAAAGAGACTCTGATTGATACGTATTATCTTTTTTTTTTTTTTCTTCTGTGTTAATCTGCACTCAATTGGTAAAGATCACGTTTCACAGATTGCAGAGAAGTTCAGCCGGCAGTTGTTTTTAAGCTTAGCTGTCCTGCTGGAAAAGGAGAGAGATGCTGAATGGGAATTCATCATATAATTATAAGATGTAGTAGTATAAGAAGTCGAGTAAATTATTTAGTGTTAAAATATTCTAATAGTTTTTAAATTATTATTTGTGAATGAGTCGTTCTCTGGAGGGTATTTTTTATGTTACAAATCTCCAGATTAATATTCATATCGCTCTCACTTGTAACTGGGTAAGTGTATGCTCGGCTAAGCTTACTCAAAACACTATTTAGCCCCATGAAACTTAACCATTTACAGGGTTAGATACTGTAATTTTATTTTGTGCTAAGACTTGCACAGCCATATTAACATGGCAGTTGGCACATCTGTGTCTTGTTTACCAGATAGAGTTCTATTTCTCC